TATGTTGTGATTTTGAATTTGCAGTTGTGTTTCTTTAATATTATTATGTTTTATCAAATATTGTACTTTTTAATTTGTAGTTGTGTTTAGTGATTTGTAGATGTGGTTTGCACTTCGGGGCCACCGTAAACTTGGGTTCAACCTTAGGATCATGAGACAGTGGCACTGACCACTGAGCTACCGTGCCTCAGACTGTTTGCTGTTAAATAATCATTTTAAACATGTTATCCAGAAGTGTTCTGTTTAATTAGATTAAAGAAAATTAAATCAAGGTACAGAGTGTAAAAATGTAGGAGCATTGATGCATAAATCAGCTGGTTAAATTGGAACATTTTATTACAGGATGTTTAGAAATTTATGGACATTTTTTGTTTTTTGTGTTTTGTTTTTTCATTGGATTGAATTGAACTTAATATAAAGGATATCAGAGACACTGCTGTCTATAGATTGTAGTTAAATATAAGCAGTCCACAGTGCTGCATATAGCCTCGTTCTGCACTGCAGTAATCTGCATTGTGCAGCCGTGTGCATGCTTGTGTTCATGTGTGTTGTGTCTGATTGGATTAGGGKTCTGATAGGGCTTGCCTGGGGTCAGTGTGTGATACACTGGTTGGTTAGTTTGGAAAGAAGGCAGCACATGTGGAAGTGTTGTGTTTTTCTTCTGTTGTGTGTCTCCTCACATGATCAGTGGGTCATTCTCCCCCCGTGTCTCTGCTCTGACAGCTACACACAGATCTGTTGTTTTCATCAGAGTAAATGTCATTTACAAATGAAACAAGACATTTTAAAAGTAGAAATGAATGTAATTAGGATAATTTCAGAGCATAATTTAATCTGGTTTGTAAGGACTTTAATCTTGATCATTCTTGTGTGTTTACAGGTTTGAGTGCAGCCAAGCTGTTAAAAGCCAGCGGGCTGGACCCGGTGGTTCTGGAGGCCAGGGATCGAGTTGGTGGTCGCACCTTTACCGTTCGGGTAAGAGCAGGATACATAACATTACTTCACACAGGCTTACAATGATGGACTGTTTGTTTCTGTACTTATGTGTTTTAATACTTTCATTACTACATTTAGCCTCGTTTACACTTTTCAAACTTCAAAATAAAAAAAAACATTTCCTACTTTAAAATTATTTTCAATAAGCAGKACGGGTCTCTCTCTCATTACTAATCCAAATAGTGTCTCTGGCAATTTAAACTTAAATAAGTGTCAGTAAATTTTATCCTGACATTTCAGTCTATCTCTCATACCATCTATAATACTTCAGAGTAAATTTTTTAAATATATGTTTGTCTATAACATCAACATGTTTCAGGTCAAGTGTAGGAGTGAGCTTAAAGTGAATTAAGCTTTTCCCACATCTCTCATACACAAGGTTATGAGGAAACTTTTACCAAGGTATTTTCTCATTATTTATTAATATCTTGACTGTGCGAAGTGAAAAGTGACACAATAAGTGAACGTTCAGACGAGTTCAAGTTGATTCATAAAAGACTATGCAATCATTTATTTACACAAA